GGGATTGGAATGAAAACTGACCTTTTCCAGTCCTGTGGCCACTGCTGAGTTTTCCAAATTTGCTGGCATATTGAGTGCAGCACTTTAACTGCATCATCTTTTAGGATTTGAAATAGCTCAGCTGGAATTCCATCACCTCCACTAGCTTTGTTGATAGTGACGATTCCAAAGGCCCACTTGACTTCACACTCCAGGATGTCTGGCTCTAGGTGAGTGATCACACCATCATGGTTATCTGGGTCATTAAGATGCCTTCTGTATAGTTCTTCTGGGTATTCTTGCCACCTCTTCTTAATATCTTCTGTTTCTGTTAGGTGCATACCATTTCTGTACTTTATTGTGCCCATCTTAATATCCACCCAATACCCAAGGATCATACAGTTCTGGAACAATCTGAACCCTATAAACTCAAAACTAACAGAGCTCCCCCAGCACCCAGATTCCTTCTCTCAGGAGAAATGCCTGAGTCTGACCAAATCAAGCAGATCGCACAGTAGGGGCTCTGGGAGAAGAGCAGAGGGGTTTGATTTCTTAACGTCCCAGGCCAGACTGTTCATTGCTTCGTGAAAACAGCAAAAGAGGGAGCACTAGGGCTATGAAGTTAAAGTGCTATGCCCATCCACTGCTGCTTCCTAGATTCAGGAGAAACCTTCATTTGTCTTACTTTTTACAATAAGCAGCAGTGGACAATCACAAGGGAAATCTACACAAGCATTATCAAATCCCTGACTACAATATCTGTGTGCCAGGAAAATACAGGCCTTCCTGCATATTGAAACATTCCCATAATGGCACAACCATCACAACACTAACAAGAGGAAACCGCCAGTCCCGGGAGTATGGGCATGGGCACTGTTTTTCTGAGATTAATGTTTTTACGTTGTGGTCAGATTGAGTGAGTCAATACTCTGATATCATTGAGAATCAACTGTGTGAGTGAAAGGAGATGTTTACACAATGGGTGAGGTTAAGTAAAAACACTGTATTCCTAAATTCAAATGGTATAAATATGAAATGACAAGCTTTGTACAGAAAAGAACTGAAACCAGTGCCCAAACCCGATCAATAGTCACCCCCAAGCGAGCAGATTTCTCATTAAAACCATCTGTGGCTTCTGGAAGAAATGGAAGATTTCACATCTGAGTCAGGAAATGAACAATATAAAACAGTGTGTCCACCAGAAGGCAGGAAAGCCACCATGGGTCACCAGGTCCGTGTCAAAAACATTCCCTGAGGAGGCCCCTGCTGAGTAAAGACGTGAGAATTATCACATTGAATCATGGAGCTTCCCTGCCGCTCAGTGATAAAGAATCTGTCTGCCAATGCAGAAGACGTGGGTTTGATCCCTGGTCCAGCAGCTAAGCCTGGGCGCCACAACTACTGAGCCCGTGGTCCAGACTCTGGGAGCCGCAACTTATAAAGCCTGTGTGCCTAGAGCCTGTGCTCCGCAACGAGAGAAGGCACCGCAGGAGAAGCTGGTGGGCCACAAGGCAGAGCAGACCCTGCTCGCTGCAATGGAGAAAAGCTCGCACAGCAACCATCACCCAGCACAACCGAGAATAGCGAAACAAGATTTTTAGAAACACGTCGACTGTTTAAATCCACGAGTTAATAAAGACATTAAGACAACATAAAACAAAAAGCACCAAATCTAAATGAATCTAAAGCTACAAGTAGTTGATCAGGGAGGGTGTTTTGTTTTAAACACAAGCTTGGAATTCAAATGTCATTGTTTCACAACTGAGATTACCTGAGCAAATCTAGGCAACCATTTTCAAAGGCTGCTAACATCACCCAAGAGAGACACAGAGAGAGAGAGAGAGAGAGAAAGATCTCCCCAGGCAGGTGTCCCCATAACCGGAGTCTGCTGTGTTACCCGGAATCTGTACACAGCACAGCTGCCTCATCCTTCTTAGCCCTGTGTTCTCCTGGCTAAACAGAAGCCGTGGATGAACAGACCACCACCCCGGGTGTTCTGTTTTGTTAAGCAATTGTTGTTAACTTTTTGCTTAATGATAGAAATGCAATTACTTTTGTAAAGCACTCCCCATCTTTTAGAGAAGGGCTTCCCAAGTGATGCTAGTGGTAATGAATCCACATGTCAACGCTGGAGACACAGGAGATGTGGGTTCACTCCCTGGGTTGAGAAGATCCCCTGGAATAGGCAAT